GGGGGGGGGGGGGGGCAGAGCTGGGGCTAGGCTCCCACCACTTTGCTATGAGTTATCCTGGGGGGCAGGGGGAGGTTCAGGGGGGTTACACCTGGGGGCACAGGGCTCTGACCAGCACAGCAGGTGAAAAGGGCGGGGGAAAGCTGGACTTGTTCAGCCTGGAAGCAAGGGGACTTAGGAGCAGCTCCCAAACCCTGGCTCTGGGTTTTGCAGGGGGGCTGAAAGCTGGGTGCTGCCTGCTCCAGGGCAGCCTTGTGGGGGTCACCGGGGGCCCCTCCAGCTCCCAGCAAAGCTGCCCAAAACGAGCAGCTGTGCAGGCAGCAGGGTCCAGAGCCTGGACTTAGTGGAGACCCCCCAGGTCCCCACCAGCCCCACTGTCCTGTGACCCCAGCTGGGTCCTGGAGCCATAGCCAAGCCAAACCAGCAGGATGGATGTGACCCCTGCTCCAGGCAGGCCAGAAGGATGGATGTGACCCCCACAACTCCAACCTGCTCTTTACAGCCCCATCCCAGTGCCAGGCAAGTGTCCCCACCCCCAGACCTGCCCAGGGAACAGGGAGAAGAGGCCCTGCCTGTGTCCATCCTTCATTATTACCACCCTGCAGGTCTCTGCAGGCTGTTCTCACCCCTCCCTCTTCTCTCCTCCAGGCTCCTGGGGGCCCTTTCAACTCCTGCTTCCCAGCCCCCTGATCAAGGCAGGGGCAGGGTGGCCCAAAGAGCTGCTAATGGGTGTGATGGATCCAGCCCTCCTGGACAATAGGCTGCTCTCCCCTGATTGAGGTGGAGGCTCCTGACAACTGCCCCGTGATGCAATCAGTCCTGAATGAGGGCAGCTGTGCCCAGAGGTGTGAACTGCCCCCACCCCCACCACCCAACCAGGTGCAGAGATGATGGTGATCCAGCTGTGCCCACCTCCCCTGTGCCCCCAGCAATGCCAAGCCCTGAGCACCCAGCTCCGGCTGCCCCCAACCCCTGGCAGTGCCTGTCCCTGTTTGCTTTGGGTCCCCTTAGCCCGGTGGAAGGTTTTGCTTGCAAACAGGCTGGTCTCAAGCCTGCTTTAGGAGGTGTGGGCCAGCTGCAGGCCGGCCACTGCCCCCCTCCAGCCCCGTGTGCTCTCTGCCCCAGCAGTGCCATGCTGCAGGCTGCGGCTGCCTGCCAGCGAGGGTTGGGAAGGAAGGGTTCCCCCACCCCGGACTGCTGCTGGCTTTGGTCTGAGGCCCTGGACACAGGCAGGGGGTCATGGCTGGGGGCACTGGTGGTCCTACTGGGTTTAAACAGCTCCGAGGTCCCAAGCTGGGGTCTGACACCTCTGCTCCGGGTCACCCAATTGCTGCGCAGGGCTCAGGAGGGAACTCGGGGCAGATTAATTCAGCTGGGGGCATGGCCTGCCCAGGTACCCCCCTCCCCACAGGAGCCCTGGCAGCTCCTTGCCCGGCTGCAGAAGCTTCCCGGGGTGCCCGGTTTGTGCCTCGGGTCAGTTCGCAGCGGACGAGGACGTGTGGACGCAGGTGGCTGGATTTGCTGGCCCTGCCCCTGGGCTGACACAGGGCTCTGGAGGTGGCAGGTCCCTGGCTTAAAAGCCTCCGACTGAACCAGGAGGAGAGGTCCCACCCCCCGGCGCAGCCCACCCTGGGGTGCCCTGTGTCCGGGGGGGCAGTCGCAACTGCCCCAGCAGAGCTGTACAGCAGGACTGGGGCCCCGGTGTGGCCAGCTCTGCCTGGCTCGGTGCTCAGCTGGGGCTGCATCCCCGTGCCGGAGGTGCCCACGGATCAGGTAAGGGAAGGCATTTCCCCCCCTGTTGTTGCTCAGGGGTGGGGGTCCCTCCCCCAGCGGCGCTGGTGCACCCCAGGCTGGGATGGGACCACGTTGCTGCGTGAACTGACCCCGCCGGGTCCTGGCTGGAGGGTCTCGCCCCCACACTTGGGGTCTGACAGACTTCGTATTTGGGGTCCCTGGTCACATGAGGGGCGGGGGGGCTGCCTTCCTCTCTTGGACGTGTCCGTGGGTGACGCGCAGGGCTGGGGCAGCTAGGGGGGCACATCTGATCCGACCCCTGCTGCAAGCAGGACCAGTCCCAACTACATCCTCCCACCGGGGCTTTGTCCAGGCAGCTTGGGGGGGAGGGGGGGCGATGCCAGGGCAGGGGCGCTAACGCGGGTTAAGGCGGCACGCGCTCACATCCACTAGCGGCCGCTCCTCCCCCGTGTACTGAGCTGCGCCGCGC